TCAAAAATTAATTGTTATCAAATTAGGAAGTTAATGTAATTCCGTTATCCAATCAGTATAAAATAACTTTTTTACCTTTATAACTTTACTCTTTTTTTTATGGTTTTTTTAACAAATATATCCCACCAAAATGGCAGAATATTTAGCATCAATATACAGCACTGAAAAAGACAAGTATGTTTGAATCAATTAGTTATTTAAAATAATTTGATTATTTAACGGTGGAAAACTTATTTTATTGTTGGCACGTTATTAACCATATGTGCTGAAATTTTGTAACTTTATTTTGATTTAACTTTGTACATTTTTTATGCAATGTATGTATGGGGTGTTCGTCGTCACGTCAAAATGATCACCTGACTTTACAATATCACTAAATGGTTAATGGATCGATCCACATTGTCTATAACAGATCATTGGGACCAGTATTAAGATTTTTAATAATCATTTTCTAGATATAGCTACTTCCCTATTTGACTTTCATCATCAACGTAACTACTAATGCTATTATTTCCTTTGTCAGTATAACTTCCACCTCCATTATCATCTTCGTCAGTGTAACTGCCATCTACACTATCATATTCGATGTAACTACTACTGCTGATACCACTTTGTAATCCACCGGGACTTGCTTATTTTGATTTAATGTTTATCAGCATATCAAAATATTAAAATATTTGAATCGAACTATCTTGACAAATGTTTTTTTTCTTCAGCATACCAAAAAAAAAAAAACAAATAATTTTTTTTTTCGTTGTCAATTTCTAAAAGGTAGTGAATAAATAATCTTTTTTGTTTTGACATAAATTTCGATATCAGCCATTGTTTATAAAAAAGCATGGTTATTGAATATACTAAAAAGGGTAGTAATAAAAAAAATGAGAGAGGATTGAAATTCATTTTGTCAATATATGTTATTTTCTTTTTATTATTAATAAATAAATAAAGTGGAGCTTGTTACTAAGGATACCGGCTGCAACTTTTGATGATGGTTGCTACCACCTTTGCGTCATATAAAAATGATTGCAACCACTGGTTGCAACCGCCTTTACAACCATTTTGTTTCCTTTTTTGGAAATATATTTTTTTGTGAGGTCTATCACATGATTTTAAGTGTGACGAAATCACATGTTTGAAAAACGATTGGCTGATACTTTTTTTTTTATGGAAGAAAACATGTTTTTGCATTGGTTTTTAATGAAAAGTTCAACAATTTTTAAGTTCCAACCAACAAATGCACCTCAATTTGAGATCTATATTTATCCGTTGATTCTTGATTCAGGCGCATGAGATCATGGCCGTGAACCATTATCTGATCAATCAACATGTTTGTTACGAAATCATTGGTGAACATTCAATGTGTTCTAAATTGTTGAGAACGTGTAGCTATGCAACTACGTGTTTATTTTTACACCATACATCTTTCCTTTTTTCATGCTACGTGGATATGTTTATGTCATCCATGCTGCAATGTTAACATGACAATAAACGCATCCGCATGTGGAAAAACATAAGGTGTAAAAATAAACACATAGTTACATAGGTACATGTTCTTAACAATTTCGAACACGTTGATTGACAGCAACAACAATCAATTATGGGCGTAGGAACACATGTCTACATTAACATATGTTTCTCCTAGATGCAAAGAAAATATTTGATACTCATAAAACAATTTAAATCACATCTAAAAAAAAATAAATTCGTGGATAGATGAGTACAAAAGGTTAAATCTCTTGAACCAAAATGACTTGAAAGAATTGATGTAATAAAATGCCTTGTAAAAAAAAGGATGTAAAAAAAAATCATTAGAAAATTTGTTTTCAATTAATTATCAATGTAATAAATAAATAAATAAATAAATAAAAATTGTTTTTCATTTTTCACCTATCAAAAAATTATGCAATCAGAAATTAATATATTAAAACAATCATGATTGTTATATTTGTGTGTATTAGTCCTGCTCTAAGCCTAAAAGACGCCATCGTCTTTGAATGATTTAAATACTGTTAATTCTCAAACTCATGAAAAATAAATGATTTATGAGGAGGAAGTAAAAAAAGTAATATTGCTTGGAGGTATTTTAAACAATCATCACCATAGCGGATTTCTTGTCACAACGGATTTTTTTGGCTGGTTCCATCAATCCGCCGTGATGAGGTTTAACTGTATAAAATATTTGCCTTTTCGATGGCATGCCGTAAATTCAATCTGCTTTATTTTCACATCAATCAAACCAGTTAATCATTGGAAGTGTTATGACTTGCTAGATTGATATTAAAAGTAAAGATGAAAATAAAACCGTTCATGCCTGAAATTTGAAAAGGGGCCTTATGGTGATGATCGCCGTCATGATTGATATATATAGATGATATGCACACCATTATTATTATTATCATCTTTTTTATCAAAAAGAAAATAATGGCGGTAAATTTTTCATTTTTTTAGTATGTTTAAATTTTATCATCTTTTAATTAAATTATTTTATATAAAATAAACTTAATTCAGTTTCAACCAGTAAATCCAAAACCTTTTTTACAAGAATTAACAGGTAAACCTGTTATGGTACGTTTGAAATGGGGCATGGAATATAAAGGGTACTTAATGTCAGTTGATTCTTATATGAATATACAACTTGCTAACACAGAAGAATTTATCGATGGCAATTCAACTGGTGCACTTGGTGAAGTATTGATTAGGTGGGTATAAATATAAACATATAAAAAAGATATGTATTATTTTTTTTCAATTATCACTTATATAATTTATATAATATATAATAGATGTAATAATGTTCTATATATTCGAGGAATTGAAGAGGATACAGAAATGAGTGGTGGAACGTAAAATTAGATTTCATTTTTTAATGTATAGAAATTTTTATAGAAATTATTATTGAAACTAATAAAAATTTAAATCAATTATATAAATAAATAAATCAAAATCATGGTTCTAACAAAAATGCTTGTTTATTTTTGTGCGATGATGAAGAGGAGGAAGAGGAGGAAGGTGTAATATAATTGGGATTTTTATCTGGTATAGATGATGCTTCAACCTTCAAGTCATGTAATTTTGTTTCTAATTCTTGATTTTTTTCTTTTATTGGTTGCTTCACTTCTTCTTTCACCACCTTTCTTTCTTCTTCTCCAGCTAATAAATTCTCTAATTCTTTTTCTAATTCATCATCAACATCATTATTTAATGCTGCATCAAGTATTGAATCCTGTCCTGATTTCATAGCATCTTCAATTTCCTTTTGATCTGCAAGGACTTCTTGTAGATGATCCATTGTTTCATCTACTTTATCAATAGTTAGACCACTTATGACCAAAGTATTTTGCAATGCATCAGCCCCAGCTTTATAACCTTCAATTATCTTTTTATATGATGTGGAGGAATGGAGAAATAAATATTGATTAAAATTGGAAGTTAATGTGGAGGAAATTTAAAATTTAAAATCTTTTTACCTCTGCATCAGATACAGCTTCTTGAATTTTTAATAGGATTGTTTCGACTGCTTCCAAAGAGTTTATTCTTTTAACTAAAATTTTATCAAGTTGTAGTTTTTTTCGCAAATATTTCATTGCTAGTGTTTTCTGCTTAAGAGAAATATATTTACTAGCAGCTGTCTTTAACCTAATAAAAAAAAACCCCATAAAAATAATAGTCAAAATTACAAAAAAAAAAAAAAAAGTAATTCACAATAATTCGCTAATTCAAAAGTACATATATACTCTTTGATTCGAGTTTCTATATCTTGAATTTGTTCATGTAGTTTCCGAGATGTTTCCTTTATTGTAATAATGTTACAATCCAATTCTGTAATTTCAAGTTTCAATTTATATTTTTTCAAACAAAACTTGATCACCAAATCATCAGGATTGCTATCATATTTATGAGGAGACCCATTACTCAAACTTTTTGTTACGATGACTTTACGATCATATTCTAAATAAGTGATTAGCACTTTTATGTCAGTATCTGTAAGCATCGAACCAGGAATTACTTTAGCTGCAAATTCTGACTTAAATGTAGCAAGTGTATAAAGATTATCAGAAATTCGATTTAATGCAACTTTTTCATGAAGTTGAATAATTTTGGTTGATGATTCTTTCAGTTTATCAATTTTCACCCATTTTCCTGAAATAATATTAGTAGGCTCTGATCCTGTTAAATTTTGAAATGTCCATGCTATTGGTTGTGATACTAACCTAGTGTATATCCAACTTAACCAACCCTGTGAAATAAAAGTTGAACAATACTCTTCAAGAGGTATTAATTCTGATTTTGAATGCATTTCTTTCTAATTATTGTTTTAGAAAGCAAATAAAAAAAAACAATGGGAAAATACAATTAGATGAAAACAACAACAACAATAACCAAGTGAGAATAAAAGAATAAAACATACAATAACACATTGAATCCCAATAGGTTCATGTCCATTATAACTTGCAAATATTTGTTTGGTGGAGTCGCTTATTTCTATGCAAAAAACATCTTCGCCTAACCATTTACGCCTACTACACTCGTCTAAAATTTTCTTCCAAAAGTTTATACAATCAATATACACCGCATTATTAAAATCTTTTTGATTTGTGAAATCTGACCAACACCAACGAAGTTTGTCTTTTATTTGAGTTTCAGGCAATGAATTGACATAATCTACAAATTCTTTATTTTTAGAGCTTTGATTCATTGTTAACTTTCAAGAATAAATGAATGAAATGGACAAATGTTGATCTTACCAAATAGAAAAAATCATGCCCCATTGTTATTCTTATCATGTCTTTATCATTACACATGTAGACTCAATAAGTCGGTCATTTATCTATATTTTAAACAATTGATTGCTGCATCCGACTTATTGAGTTTACATGTGTATCAGCACATCTTTATAAATTTATCATAATAAATAATTTTTAAATCGATATTATTTGTTATAATATAAAACATTAAGCATTCTAATATGCATTCACCCCAGACATTGGAGACTATATATAAAGCAATCCTAGAATATTTAATTTTCCTCCATTCATTAATCAATTCATTTTCTAGATTTATAAATTCCTTGATATATGAATATTTGTTAGAGATGAAGAAGCTCTAATAAATTTTGGATTAAGGCATTGGATTTCTTTAAAAGGTGGTAATGCCAAATGTCTATTAGCATACATGTTTACATAATTTGTTATAGGCAAGTTTAAAAGCTTGAGAAAATGAAAATGGTGGTATTAAAGATTTTTCTAATGCATTTTGAATTCTACATGAATTAATCATGTTTTGATTTAAAGAAGGATTTTCAACGCCAGCTCTTGATAAATTTTTCAATGCAAAAGGGAAACGTAAGGTGATATAGCCTTGACACGAATTTTAAAAATTCTAAGCCTTGGATCAATTATTATTTATTAATAATAGGAATATTTTTTTTTTTAAAATTCTGTTATAAACTTGATGATTAAATGCTACTGTTGTACGTGAAAATGAAATGTGGATTCGCAATTCACATATGTGAAATTCACCCCACTAAAAAGTTTGAAAGAATTTCACTTAATTTCATGATTGATTTTGGTGCATCAGAAATTAATGACTTCTTTGGAATAAATGAAACTAAATGTAAGAAATTAGTATCTAACTAAAATATAAAATCAAACCAACTATTCCAACGAGTTATAACTGGTAAAGGTGAAAGCTTTGAATCCTCTGCAGTATTATTTGATTCTGACAAACGTTGCAACCATCTTCGTTTTTTCTTCTACCATCATGTGCAAATGCTGATTTAATACAATTGCTCTGGTGGTTTTTATCTTGCTTTTTTTAAATATTTTAATATTCATATATATATATATATAAATCAAAATCATTATGTATTTCTCTTTGTTGAATCAAAATAAATAAAATATTATCTTTTTTTTAATCCTTTCCTTAATGTGAATGACTTTGTCCCCATTATTGTATCTAATTCACGAATAAATGATTGCATCACCAAACAATAACAATACTAAGACCATTTAGAAATAAAACTTTTAAGAATCAAATTTTGGGAAAGCTACACAAGTAAAGATGAGAAAATTTGGCAGAGTTGGAAAATAAAACCATCTGAGCTTTCTTTCCATGTAGGGGAATGTTCTACCACCTTGTCATCCAAAGTGGTATTGGGAAAATTCCAGTGGGGAGAGTTCAGACCCGGACACTTTACCGACAGGACACTTTACCGACAAGACACCTTACCGACAAGCACTGTGTTAAAAATTTGCCAAGGACTGTGTGAAGACCTGGATAACTAGCTAAAAGTTTGGTTTTTTACAGGCAAGTCAAATCAACCGTTAATTAACTAATAACACAACCTATTATCTTTACTTTGCATCAAAAACCAGTTCATAAAAATACAATATGTAATACGAAATTTATTTCGCGCGTAACGCGCTAAATTAAAACGAAACGTTACAACTTTACTTATATTATTGTTATATTACTTATTATTTATATTACTTATTATTTATATTACTTATATTATTATTTATATTACTTATATTATCATTTATATTACTTATATTATTATTATTTATATTATTTTCTTTATGTATATGAGTTACAAATTACAGTCCCCGGCGAAAGTAATGGCGGTACAATGAAATATTATTTTTATTAAGTAAATCGATCTTTTTATATTAAATAAAGTTGTTCACAATGAAAAATTCTACATATCCTAAAATTTT